CATCCCAGGGGTTAAGGGTTTCTATCAAGCTATCTATGCTGCTGCTAATTTATCTGATAGATGTGTTAGATACAGCATTTGGGGGAAATGGAGTACTCATCTCAGGATAATGACCCTGTGAACGCTGTATTATTTCTGTGGCAAAGAACAATTTTAAGCCTGCGCTAATAGATTAAGCTACTAGAGTGATTATTTTGAACAAAGAGAGTGGTTGAGAGTTCTACAGCCAGCCTGAGACTAATCAGGAGGAGTAAAGAGTGATAATTTAATCATATCAACTCATAACATGGGATACTAATAGTCGCTGTCACACTACACCAGCTGAAGGAGGTCTCTGAACCACCCAGACTAAGTTCCAGCTTTTGCTACTCTTTCTGGCTGTTTGACCTTACAGAAGTCACCAGGCCAGGAGGAGCTTCAGCGCCCCCATTTGTAAAGTGGGAACACAAATGCCCAAGGCACAAGACACTGTGTGTGAAGAATCGGGACAAGGCGTGGGAGAATGTTCAGTAAACTGCACGTGGCTGGGTGGATATTGGGTGCCATGGGAGCCAGGAAGGAGGCGCGGGATTTGTAAACACTGCCTGAAAGCAAACAGAATGTGATCGTGTACCACGAAATGCACAAAGGGGTGCACTCTGCAGAAAGCCTTATGAACCCCTTCTGTAAAGCAGCTCCTTCATCCTCTCCCTCCTTCATCCTCTCTACACGTTAGCTTTTTGTGACATGGACATCTGTGTGGGCAGCGTCTGCAGGGCCAGCAGAGCCACTCATGAACACTGGGGAGAGTGTAAAGGAGGCCCACCAGCAGGCTGCAGGGAACCTTCAGGAACCCTGCGTGTCTTGGACGTTCAGTAACACGACAGGGCAACAGCGTGCCTCCCTGTCACATTTGTGCACACCGGGAAGCCTGCTCTTAGCAGGACTTGTGAAATACGCATTACCATTGCCTCCATCGCTTTTTCTGGTGAATTAAGCCCAAAGGATGATGTTGGGAAACTTTTTTGTACTCTGATAATTAGCAGTGGGTGAATTTCGAGGGGATTCTGTTGGACAAACCCTGGAGGCTGAAAATTGAAAAACAAAAACAAAATAAATGGAGAAAGGTTATCTTTAAATAGATTTAATACTTAGAAAAGATACTACGGGCAAATAAATGTAAATATTTAGAGGGATAATGAGAGACGCATACTTCTCAGAAAGTCGTCTCACATTAGGCAAGTTTTGATTCATAAATGTCACAGATTGGATGACGCAGGGCCCTTCTTTGAAAACCTTTAGTGCCTTCCTTTGTAAAATAAAGGCTCAATCTCTCAGCTCATGACCAAGGCTTTTCAAGATCCGCCTGTGAACTTCGTTTCAGGCCTCACCTACTGCTTCTCCCCCCAATGCCTTCTCTCCTGTGACTTTTGCGCAGCCCTGTTCTTGCATTGTTTGACAGACATCCTTGAATGCCTCTCACTTGCAGACAGAGGTATGATCTGGAGCTCAGGAGTGGTGGCTGCAGTCTGGCTCAGCCAGGAGTGAAAGTGCCTGGAGGGTCAGAGAAGAAGTCAAGGTGGGAGACCCAGGAATCCTCCAGGCTTTGTGATGGGCAGAAGGAGAAGGGCAGTGAGCGACCCTGCAGTCTGGGAGAGGGCGCGGAACAGAGCCCAGTGCTGGGGAGGAGAGTGGTGAAAGCTGCGAAGAGAACATCTCATGCCGGATGGTAGAGAGGGCTCTGGAAGGGTGAAAACGGGACTCTGCCCAGTGGGTTTGGTGACTGGGAGGGGGTCGGTGGCCTTGGCAGGGCTGTAGGGCACACACCTTTTCTTTGCTCACTCTCTTCTCTTGCCCGTGATGTCCTTTCCCACCACAGACCCTCTGTGGCCAAAGCCACCTTCCAAGAAGTGGTCCCAGGCGCTGCTGCTGCAGAGCTATTAACACATTGTTTATCTTCAGGTCCGGCACGCTGGCCTCTGTGGCGTCTATGGGCAGCAGCCATTTCCAGGCCAGCGAGCGACCTCCTGTTTCCTTCCGGTTGGTCCTAAGAACTTGGAGTGTGTCCCCTGTGCTGCCAGGGGACAGGAGGCTGCAGCCTGTCCTCCTAAAAGGCCTGGCCCTGGCTTGGTTCTCCTTGTCCTTGGCAGTGACTTCAGCCACTGTCCATACTTGGGCATTGTGGTGTTCGTGTTTTTAAAGGGTGAGAGTTGTTAGCCAGTGGAAATTTTCCATCAGTGAAGGAGTCACTGTCCTCTCTAGGGTTAGCTTCGGTGGCAGTCACTCTGTCCACAGAATGGTGCCATGACCCAGAGCCTGTGTTAAAGCTCATGGATGAGTTTGTCTCCCTGTATTGTATGTGGTCTGTTTACCCAGAGTGTGGAGGGCTTGTTTGCACATGTGAGGCCCTGGGGACCTGGGTGTAAACCGTTCCCATCCCCTCACCCTTTCCTTTGTGTGGCGTTTACTGACAGGTAAGAGGAGAAAAGATTAGCTGCATGTTGCCTCCGCTCTCCCAGTCTTCTGTCAGGTTCTCTCTTGCAAAGTGAAATAAATTAATATTTACTTCCAAAATCCTGGTTCATGGTATGTTTTCCCAGTTAAATGAAATTGAAACAAATGGGAAAAGATGAAAAAACAGATCTCAGTTCACTCTAAAAAAACAAATCAGTCTAAATGTATTGATAGTTTCCACTCAGAATAGCTCTCCAGCTCCGGGTGAATTCTATCAGTCCAAATCAAAAGTTCCTTCCAATCCATAATGTTGGAACCTCCGGAGCCCAGCCTGGAGGAACCTTTTCCATTTTTCTCTCTGAATTAAACATGACCCACCTGTTGACACAGCCCTTCTCACTCGCGGAGACAGGAATAATCACAGGGTTAGGATGAGACCCTCCAAGCCAGTTGGGCCTTCCCCAGAGAGAGCGCAGAGTCAGAAGAGGCGGGGAGCGGGAGGCCACCCAATGCCAATTGCAGGCCAGGAAAGGGCCCGGACATGTCGTGAGTGGGACCTCATGGAGGCTGCCCGAGCACACTTGCTGCTCCCTACACCTCCTGGGAGTCATTGCTCCCCCATCTGCCTGGAGCCCATCCCTATGCCTCCCTTGGAACCCCAACACTGGCACAGGCTGCCCTACAGGAGCCCAGCTACTCCACAGCACAGTCATTCACTGTGCCCTGTGCCTGCACCATGAGACTCAGCTTCCTCAGAGGACTGTGGTTTTCTAGTGCCCAGCGTGGCATCTGACACCTAGTGGATCATCAGTCAGTGAATACTGAGCATATGCTGTGCGCCAGGCAATCAGCTTGGCTCTGCGGAAACAGTTGTGACCAGGCAGACATGGTCCTGCCCTTGTGGAGCTTGTAGTCTACTGGTAGCTGGTAAGATGACAGAAGTTCTGTAGGGTGAAAGAATGAGTGATTGACATGCTAGAATACTGCTCTTCCAGGCAGCAGCAGGTATTTAAGAAAGTGTAGTCGAGGCCGGGCACAGTGGCTCATGCCTGTAATCCCAGCACTTTAGGAGGCCAAGGCGGGTGGATCACTTGAGCTCAGGAGTTCAAGACCAGCCTGTGCAATATAGAGAAACCCTTTTTCTATCAAAAATACAAAAATTTATTAGGTGTGATGGCATTTGCCTATAGTACCAGCTACTTGGGAGGCTGAGGCAGGAGGATGACTTGAGCCCAGGAGGCGGAGGATGCAGTGAGCTGAGATCGCCCCACTGTACTCCAGCCTGGGCAACAGAGTCAGACCTTGTCTCTAAAAGAAAAAAAAAAAAAAAAGTGGTTGAATGAGCGAATGAATGAAGGAATTGAAAGGTCGGTGCTGTTATTGAGCTCCCACTTTGCATACAGAATCTCCTTCCATTCTCCCAGGAATCCTCTGGAGAACACATTTTAGTCAGTGTTTTACAGATGAGTAGACTGAAGGTTGTAGGCAAAAGTGTCTTGCCCAGGCCTCATAGCTTAAAAATGGTGGGACTGATGTGCGAAGCCCCATCAGCGCAGTACAAAGCACATGCTCTCTCCGCCTTGGCATTCAGACTCACCTGGAAATGAATGGGTGTCCCTGACACTCCTCTGTAAGTCTGAAGGCTCTCTTATCCTCCAGCTAAGTAACTCCAGGCCCCTTTGCTTTCCTCTTGTGTCTGTTTTCTAATCCTTCACTCATTTTTGCAGCTCTGAGATCTCAATTCCCTGTCTTTTGTTTCTCATCTCAAGATCAAAGACAGTTGTTATTTAAAAACAGCCCAGAGCTGGCAGCATGAGGGATGTGGGGTATTAGCACCAGCTGGCATTTGGATCTTGCCTGGAATCTGGCAGCTTGGAGCTTCAGAGAAAGGCCTGGCCATAGAATCCATGAGGTCCCGTCCCCTGACTGATACCCAGAAGACTCCTGTCCAGCCCTGTGGCAGTGAGTTTCTACCAGCAGGCCTTCCCCCAGTTAGTTAATTCATTAGTGTTGCTGGATGAAGGACACCTGGGGAAAATCAGGCCTGCCGGGCCTTTGTTGCTTCCTCATGTGATACAGATCTTCACACAGAGGTAAGCTCCCTGAGTGTGGAAACATAGCCCAGGATGGACCTCATGCCTTTATCACTGCCAGATGGACCGGCTATAAATTTTCAGGAGCATCCCCCAGCCGCTACCCTTGACACTTGCAGTAAATAACCCCCACAAGGCCTTCCAGCCCTCATTCTCTAGGTAGCCCCACACCTCCTGGAAGCCCCCGGGAAGCAGCTTAGCATCAGGAAGCAACCTTGGACTCTGGGTTTGAACTTGGGTTCCAGCATTTGCCACAGCTGGGGACCTGACCACGTTGCCCTACATTGCTGAACCTCATTCTGATCATCTGTAAAATGGGCATGAGAGCACGCACAGCCTTGTAAAGAGGATCGGTGGAGAATGGACGTGCTCCCACAGTGCACTGGTTGCTCCTAAGCTGTGGTTGTGACTTTGTTGTTACGCTGGACCGGGAAGTAGGCGCTGTGTGACCTTTCTCTTGCCCTTCTCCCACAGGTCACCGAGGAGGAGCCCAGCTCCAACCACAGGGTCATGATCCAGGAGACAGTCCAGCAAGCATCTGTGGAGCTTGCCGAGCAGCACCACCTGGTGGTGTCCTCCGACGACGTGGAGGGCATTGAGACCGTGACTGTCTACACGCAGGGCGGGGAGGCCTCGGAGTTCATCGTCTACGTGCAGGAGGCCATGCAGCCTGTGGAGGAGCAGGCTGTGGAGCAGCCGGCCCAGGAACTCTAGAGGACATGTGGCATCGGATGGCCACAGGGTGGGGCTGCCAGGCTCTGCAGGCACCCAGGGTGGGGAGGCCGCCCTTCCTGCCCGACCCACAGAATGGTGCTCTCCTTTGCCCTCCCTGCCCGGCAGCCTGATGGGACTCTCCTAGTCCAACTTGGGGTGGGCAAGGCAGTCAGCATCACCAGCAACACCACAGAACCCTGTCCCCAGCATAGACACACACCCCCTGACCCTTACCATCTGCTTCCTGAAAGACTTCAGCGTCAGCTCCCCTACACATGCCCCCACGCCTTCACCCCTTGCTTCAGGATTCAAACAGAGGCTCCCAGTGCCCCTCAGCGTCTTCCCTGAATCACAGCCCCAGCTCCTTGACCCCCATCTAGGTGCCAGATGTTCATCTGCAGCCGCTCTGCAGCCTGGTGAGAGGGAGACAGCCATCGCGTAGAAAGTGACCTTACGGGTTTTTAATCACTGCTGAGTGGGGTGGGCGTAGTGGGATTGTCCTGGCTTTGTCGACAAAGTCCCACTTCCCTGAGTATCGAGTGCCCGTGTTATCAAGTGAGGTAAATTCACCCCGTCACAGGGTCTCGCCCTACCATCCTGGAATTATTTCGCTTTTAAGATAAATGCACTATTTCACTGTTCGCCTCTCATTCTAAGGAGGTGAGGTGGATGGAATAAAAACAGTTCCTGTCTAATGCTTTGGTTCCTCAGGTGGGATGGCTTACATTTCCCCTTCCCAAGTTGAAATCTTGAATTTGGGGCCGACCCAGAAGGACCCCATCCAAACCCAGGCCCTTAAAATGCAGACAATGAGGCTCTTTCCTCTGCGTCGAGGTTTGCTTTGGAAACTTTTTGAGGTTAATGATCTCACCTTCCATTTCCTGGCAACCAGCATTTGATTTGCTGCCAGCCGAGAAGTGGCAGTGCCCTCTTCTCCACTGTGTATTTGGGAGGAGCAATGCACTGACCATCAAAGGCGTCATAACCAAGGTTTCTAGTCTGAGTGCTCAACATAGATGCCATACGTTTGGAACTCCTGCTCTGTGCACAGCATTGTGGGGGCATTGTCTTGAGTCCTGCTATACCCAGCCCAGCCCTGGGGTGTCTTGACATTTTCAACATCTGACACCCTGACATCAAGGTTTGTTTCCTCCGAGAACCCTTTCTTGCAATGAAATCCGATGCAAGTTCAGAAGCAAATAAAAGAGTAGCCGCCCTGTTGAAGAGGACACAGTTTACTTGGCCCTCCCTGTTACCAGCTCTCTCACCTCACCCCAGCAGGGCCTGAGGGCACCTCCTGGGGGAAGCTTAAAAGCTGCTGCTCTGATTCAAGTAGGACAATGACTCCTTGCCTTAAGCAAGGAAGAGGGAGAAAGCTGCTGGCTTGGGATGAGTTAGGGAAAGCTTCAGGGTGGAGGTGACCTGTGATAGGGCCTGGGAACCTAGATGGGCTTTGTACCTCCAGGGATTATGGGGAGAGGGAGCGAGAAAGGAATTCCAAAGAAGAGTCACAGCGCCGCCTGGGGCGGGCAGTGTGGGAGAAGAACTTAAACCATGAGCATTTGTGTTTGTCTGGGGGCAACTCTAAAGGGAAGGGCGGAAAGATCAGCAGAAGCCAGATCCTAGAAGAGCAGGGATGCGAAATGGTGGATGTGGATTTTACCCTGTACTCTGTGGGGCAGGCAGTGGCATTGGATAGAGGAGGGGAAGGGCGAGGAGGTCAGGGTGGTTCTCCAGAATGGGACATCTTGCCCATGCATCGGCGTGGTCTGTGGTGAGATGGGTGAGTGCCCAGCTCGCAGGCAGAGGACCTGGGCTCCAACCCTGTTCTGTCACTTATCCACGTGACCTTGCCATGCCACCAGACCTCTCAGCCTTAGTTTACCCATCTCTGAAATGGGTCTGAGGACAATCGCTGACTCCTGATGATTAAGAGGATTAAATGAGTGAAGCCTCTGAAGCTGTTAGAAGTGTCCTGGCCCACACTCTGGAACTATCACAGATTGCTTGTATTCCTGGCATGGGGGTCTTACACATGAGTATCCCTCAGACTCCTCTCTCAAGGGCATAAGGTAGCGGGAGAGGGGGGCCAATGAAGGTGACCTGGGAGGACTCCCAGGGTGTGCTCCGTGCTCTGAGCAGCCTGACTGCACAGCCTGCCCTGCCTGGACACGCAGACCCTCCCTGTGTACTTACCTTCCCTTCCCGTCTCCTTGGATTACGAGGAAATGCAGAAAGCTGAAGTGAGACATTACCAGTGGTCCTGGCTGACCAGGCCTGGTGGGTGTGTGGGTGGGGCAGGCAGCAGGCCTGGTTCTCCGCGGTTCTTTCCTGAGGAGCTGATGCTGGGCTCAGAGGGGAAGCTTTCAAAGCCAGTGGTCCATGCATATGACTGAGCGATGGAGCTTCTCACTGCTCCCAACCCCCTTGGCGGCTGTTCTCGGGTGCTTTTTGACCCCAGGTATTTTTTTTGTGTCAGGCAAGGTGAAAGCTTGTGCTAAAAGGCTGAATTCTCTACCTCTCTGTTTTAGAATGTGTGTTCAGTACCTACTGTGTGCCAGATTCCATATGAGGCCCTTTCATGGGCATCTTCCTCTGCAGACTTCCTGTCCACCTGTGTCTTCCTGAGACAACACTGGCGCTTCTGTGTTGGGATGTGGGTGTTCGCATCACAGCAACCCAGGGAGTTTGGTGCTATTGTTAGAATTTTATTGATGGGAACTGTTAGCACAGGGAGGTTTAGTAACTTGCTCGAGGTCACACAGGAAGTGGCAGAACCAGGAATTGAGCTCAAGCAATATCTGCACTCATAACCAATGTGCCTTCTGCCAACTCTTCTCTTGCTTTTACAGCTGAGAAGACGGTGGCTCAGTAAGTAACCTGTTTTGGGGGGCACTTGAGGCTAGAAAGGGATGTGTGTGGGACTTGAACACAGGTATGAAGTTCTTGTTCCCCCAGGTACTTTTTACCCTCCCTGCACTGTCCTGTTTCTCTGTCTGTCAGCCCTGACACCAGGAAGGCAGTGCAGGACCAGGACATGGAGGACAGGGGCGAAGTGCCAGATTGACTACAGGGAGCTGAAGCCCAAGGCCATGTGGCCAAGTGTGAGCAGAAGTCATTGCAAGGACAAGAGACCGAGGGATGGCCCGAGGTCAGAGACAGGGTGGAGGCACGAGATGGGGACCAGCCCAGAGTGCTCTGTAATGCTTGGGCTGGGGAGGAGGCCAAGGCAGCATTCAACTGGCCTCGCCCTGGAAGAGCCCTGGCACTTTCCACAGACACACCTTCACAGATGACACCCACCTCGCACCTGGATAGGCTTTGCCTCTGTCTTGTGGACAGGGCTACAGGCTCACATCTACAAGGGGAGAAGGGCAGTTTTTGAATGAAAGAGCTGAAGCCCAGGAAAGACAGACCTGGCCCAACGTCACTCTCAGCAGGTATGTCAGTTTGGGCAGGCTGGACCACCTCTCCCGCGTTAGCAGTGGGGGTGATAAGATAACAATTGCTGCAAGGCACAGATGCTCCTTGTACATCAGGGACTTGCAAAGGACTTTCTGTTCATTGGGTATTTGCTTCTCAGGACAGCATTGGGAAGGGTGGGTGTTCTCACCCAGTGCATAGATGTAGAAGTTTATCAAATAACCGTAGTGTTAGAATTACTGGGAAGATGTTTGTGATGTGCTCAGCACAGTCTCTGGGGTGGAGGAGAGGCTCCACTTAATAGCGCTCAAATATGAACATGACCTTGCAACCTGGCTGTGCAACAGCAAGTTTGAGATGCGTTAGTTGCTCTGAGTTTCGCATCTTTGAGGAGACAGTGACTCATTGTATAACCTGTATCTGTGGGGCTAATTTGACAAATTAATTTTTCTTGTAATAAGTATTTAAAATTCATTAACTCTTGTCACTGATGATTTTCCCCTTGTTCTTCAGTTCCATCTTTCAAGGCTGGAGAAAAAAAGACCATTTGATTCCAAATCCATCTCCCCACTCCACCCCTTTTAAAGTTCAAAATGAACTGTCCATCCTGCCCTTGGATGAAATCCAGGATTCCATCAGTCTCCCCACAGTGGGAATAGTTTTAGGTCATAGTGGGAAATCTTTGGCAATCAATTAACTAGACTAATACTCTGTTGGAGGAAAGGGGAAAAGTGCTGAGGGGGAGACTTAATTCCAAGTACATTATTTTCAAGTCAGCTCAGCCCTTCTCTTAGCCATGACAGGGACATGTTTGGGTTTGATTTTAAAAATTCGAATCTATCACTGTCACCATTCCTGCTGCAATTTAAGGCTTCGGTGGTTTGTGGTAGATAACAGTTGTTATACTTCCTGCAGGCTAAGAAGGCAGTGATGGTTTGGTTTATTAACTATCACAAAGCAGACAAAAGGGAGAAGAAAGGTCTGTGTAGACAGAAGAAGGCTGTGTCAGGCCAGAGGCCACGGGGGAACCAGACTGGAGAGGGGCCCCAGCTGCCTCACCTCCTCCATTCTGCACCTCTTTCCTGAGCATCCAGAATCACATCTATGGGTCATAGAGAGATGCCCCAGACAGCAGCCCTGACCCCAGGGGATTGTCATGGGCCAGGTGAAACTGATAAAGGAGGTGCAAGTGACAGAACTGCCTGCAGTGAACACTTAGGTCACATGCAGGTGCCTCGAGGGCAGTTGGCCTCAAGAGACAGATTCTGCAGGGCCTGGGGGAAGGGGGCTCAGCTTCTGTCCTGTGTAGATCATGGCATTATTGACTGTAATAATTAATAGAGTCCACCCAGTCCAGGCGTATCTAGAAGCCTATCAGCTGGCACTCTGTGAAGAAGTGTGGATAATCCCAGCACTTTGGGAGGCCAAGGCGGGTGGATCACAAGGGCAGGAGTTCGAGACCAGCCTGACCAACATGGTGAAGCCTTGTCGCTACTAAAAATACAAAAATTAGCCAGGGGTGCTGGTGGCACACCTGTAATCACAGCTACTCAGGAGGCTGAAGCAGGAGAATCCCAGGAGGCGGAGGTTGCAGTGAGCTGAGATCACACCACTGTACTACAGCCTGGGCGACAGAGCGAGACTCCGTCTCAAAAAAAAAAAGAAAAAAAAGTGTGGACATGTTGTGAGCGACTCAATCGTGGCCGTGTCTGAAGTCAGAATCCCAGGTTGGAGTCATCAGTTCACCCCTTAAGAGCTGGGAACATCGCATGTTCTCTCTGAGCCTCAGTTTTTCCATTTCTAAAATGGGGGTCACAGTAACACTTTCCTCATCAAATTGCTGTGAGGGTTTGAAAAGATGGTGATGCCAGTTTTCTGGCCTGTGCAGGCATCCAAGGAGGGTTAATTCTTACAGTCCTTGTGAGTATTGCCATCATTTGTATTCTATAGTAATCATGTTGGATGCATGAGTGGCAGAACAACCTGGAGGCCGAGTTCCCTGGCAGGAGCCCCAGAGGCTGGGGGAGTCTGGAAGGGGCTTCTGCATTCAGTGATCAGGAGCGATGATCAGAGAGCGACATGAATGTAGAGCAGAAACTGCGAAGCAAGGCCAGAAGGCCAGGGCCGGCGGGACTGAGGGAGACAGTCATGCTGCTTCATTTCACAGGTGAGCAAACTGAGGCTCCAAGAGGGCAAGGGGTTCCCCTGATGGCACAGGGCAAGTGACTCTCTGAGACACTCCTGCTTGGCCCCATTAGTGAGGCGTGTGT